GTGCCTAGCACACAGAAAAAGGCTTAGTAAATTTTGTTGAATGAATGAAAGAAAATGCGGGTATAGAGAGAGGGTCAGAGATCATGTTTTGAGTCCACCCTCTCTAGTATGCTACTAGAGATATACACCATACACACACACACACACACACACACACACACACACACGCAGGATATTGGTATCTTACTCCCTAAGAGGATTAGACTGCCACTGACCATGCTTGGTTAGACCCAAGCATTTTCTGTCAAGAAAGAAGGCTCTATTGCCTACCCAGCTACAGAGGAAACTCTCAGAAAAGGAAGAAATGGCTTCTGTAGATGAAATCAGCCAAACAAAATTAATCCTTAGTCACAAGGCAATTATGTCCTTCGCTTAGCAACAGCAAATGCAGTGACCAAGATAATTCATGTCTGGCCAGGTGCAGGGGCACACGCCTGTAATCCCAGCACTTCGGGAGGTTGAGTCAGTAGGATCACTTGAGCCCAGGAGTTTGAGACCAGCCTAAGCAACAAAGCAAGACCCTGTCCCCACAAAAAAATTCTAAAAACTAGGCAGGTGTGGTGGTGCATGCCTGTAGTCCCAGCTGCTCAGGGAGCTGAAGTGAGAGGATTGCTTGAGCCCAGGAGGTCAAGGCTACAATGAGCCATGATTGCACCATCGTGTTTGAGACTTTTGCCTTTGTAGTCACCAAACATAAAGGAACTTGAATACTTAACGCCAATATACCATTTATTGGGCCCTACCTCAGCCAGGGTAAGAGAGGGTTTCCAGGATTTCTAGATCTGCTTCCTCCTAGATGGGGAAACTATAAAGTCACTGGGCTGTCTAATACTCTCCCTCTGGTGTTGATTCAGAATCACTGGTTTTTTTCAGATACAATGCCTAGGAAAGCAAGTCAGCCATCACAAGCAATAGAAGCTGTGGGTCAAATGTCACTGACTAATCAACCTGTCAGTGGTCAATTACCCATCCCTATGAAGGGGTGCCCCTCATCTAGTTTCCAGTCAATAAATGTCTATCTGGCCACATCAACTGTCGCTAACTGAAGTCTGCCAAGATCTCCAGCATTGTCCACAAGCATTGGTAGCTAAGAAATCTCTTTCCCTTTCCTCTTAATAATGTCACAGAAGAGGCAAATGCAGTTCCTGACAACATAATGTTAGTTTCACAGAGACGTGTCTCTTTGAAGGCTCAGCCAGTTATACAGAGCTTCAATTGCATGGATTTTTTTTCCACTGGAAAAAAAACAAAAAGCAGGCTTAAGGAGGCTGGAGGCTTCATACTGTGCTGAGATACACAATTCTGCCTTTGGTGTATTCATGCTCATCCCTACTCTGAAGCAGGAAAAGAAAGATTGTTTGGGAGAACCACTTTCATTCCACATTTAAGGAAAACCAAAACGGACACTGTTCTCTCTTGCATTAAGTCCTAGTGACAGCCTTTTCTCGAGTCAGATTCGACGTCTCGGATTCTCTGGGTAGAGCTAGAGGCCAAGGTGGCCTTGCCATGTGAAGAGGCTGTTTATCGCTCTGAGTTGTCACTCTGATAACAACCTCATGCAGTTCACATTAGATTTAAAATTCTAGACTTCCTACTGTACTCTCCTCCCAGTTTCCCTTTCTTTCTTGATAGACTACCTCATCAGTACATTGAATCTTTCAAAGGAAGCTTATTCCAAGTTGCTACAGATTTTTATATATCAAGTAAGGCTGGGAGGAGGCAGCAAGTGAACATTTATAATACAAATGCTTTGATAGAAATTGTATACAAAATATATGGGATTATTGAAGAGGGATCTATCAATAAGGCCAGGAGATAACGGACGGTTAGAGAAGCACTCCCAAAGGAGTGAAGCCTTAAAGGGGGAATTAAAAAAAAAGAGCCAGGTAGAAAGGGAGGTAATGAGAAGGTAGTGAGAGATGCAAACAATGATATCAGCATGGTCAAAGAATTAAAGGCAGGAGGGTAAGATGCTCTCAATAGCTGGATAGGCTGTGACAGAGTCCAGAGTAGCACAGGGTTGGGTAGGGTGGGGAGGGGTGCTGACGCAGGACATAAGGCTGTATAGACAGAGGTAGGTCAAATAGTTCCTAAATGCCTTAGTCTGAACTTTCTCCAGAAGGCAAGTATTAATCATGAATCCTTTGAGAGGAGGGTGTGGTCATATCAGATGTGTGGGAGGGATGGTTGTGGGTGGGGAAGTGGGGGGCCCAGTGGAGGTCTGGAAGATCAGGTAGAAAACTGAAACAACTACTCTGCAACTATGCACAGTCGGACAGAGAAGAGGAAAAGAATTTGTGAGATGTTTAGGCCATATTGACAGAACTTTATGGCTGACTGGATGACAGAGGAAAGTGAAGGAGAGGTAGGAAATCAGGGAGATTCCCATGTTTTTGGCTCCAGTAATGGACAAATGGATGGTGCCACTGAATGAGATGGGGAATCATGACATGATGTGACTTGAACAGGGAGGGAAGAATAATGGAATTCCATTTTAGACATCGTGGTTTGAGATGTGCATAGAGCACTGTTAGATGGCGGCGGTGGTGGGGAGGGAGGTGTGGGGTAACGGGTAAGCAAATGGAATACAGAGAACATTAAAAGAGACTGGGCAGAGCTACTAAGCTTCCTGTTTATTTCAATTTTCACTGGCAAGGAGACTGGTCTTCAAATTAGAAATGTCAGAACAAACATAATAAAGAGAAAATTGAAGTCCCAAATAGGTGAAGTGAAAGAGAGTATCTAGTCAATTTAAATGATTTTGAGTCTCCTGACTCAGATGAGTTACACCCCAAGCCTGCTGAAAGAAATTGCAGATGTAATCTCAGAGCCACGATTGGTAATCTTCAAGAAATTGGGGAGGCTATCAGGAGTGCCAGTAGACAAAAGACAGACAACTGTTTTCCAGATTTTTAAAGTAAAGAGGGATAGATTGTAATGGAAAACACAGAAATAAGTTTCACATCCTCCTTAACAAAAATTCTTGAACAGCTTATTAAATAGATAATTTACGAGTACTTTAGTTAATGCATACAAATAAGAGAAAGGAAGGTGGGGTGTTGTTTGCTATTTGATGGAAGTTGATTTGTACCGGTAGCTGGATGTGGCCTGTCTCTTCCCCTTCCTAAGCACAAAGTAAGTTGGTCTGGCCTGTGGTCTGAACTCAAGGCTTCTCTATCTGTGATTGGTTGTCTATGGTACTTAGCTTGTAGTGTGACCCTTTGTAAAAAAGGGCTGACGATTTAAATGAAAAACTCACAGTCTGAATTCTCCAAGAAACCCAGCATCAACTACTTAGGGTGCCCTGGGAAACCAGCAAGCAGCATTAACCTCTGCGGGTATTAGCCTAAACATCAATAAACCTTTGCTTATTAGAATATTACTACCTTATTTTTTGTGCTGTTTCTTTCTGTATACTTACTAACTCTAAAATGAGAACAGGAAACGACAAACAAATGTGGTGAAACATTACGGGGGCGGGGGGAAAGGCAGTTATGCCTTGCCAACACCACTACTTCAGGTGGGCTAAGGTATACATATACCTATACATATACACATTACATTTTTTCATTAGCCCTTCAGATACCTTCTTAGAATTTAAAAAAAAAAAAAGAAGAAGAGAAAAGAAAAAGCAGCCTACTTAAGACCCAGATGGCTCTCTTGAACTGAAAGTACAGGCACGCACTGCATAATGATGTTTCAGTCAAGGACGAACTGCATCTACGATCATCTCACAAGAGATAATAGAGCTGAAAAATTCCAGTTGCCTAATGACATCACAATGTTGTAGCGCTATTACTTCATTAAAAAAATAGAGTGTTGCTGGCCAGGTGCTGTGGCTCATGCTTGTAATCCAGCACTTTGGGAGGCCGAGGCAGGCAGATCACTTGAGGTCAGGAGTTCGAGAGCAGCCTGGCCAATACGGTGAAATCTCGTCTCTATTAAAAATACAAAAAGTAGCCAAGCGTGGTGGCAGGTACCTATAATCCCAGCTACTCGGGAAGCTGAGGCAGGAGAATCGCTTGAACTTGGGAGGCAGAGGTTGCACGCCAGCCTGGGTGACAAGAGTGAGACTCTGTTTCCCCCTCCCTGCCAAAAAAAGTAAGAAACATATATATATATACACATATATCTTTTATACATTTTTATTGTACCTTTTCTATGTTTACACATGTTCAGATACATAAATACTTACCACTGTGTTATAATTCAGTCTTCAGTACAGTAACAGGCTATACAGGTTTGTAGCCTAGTAGCAATAGGATATGCCATCTAGCCTAGGTGTGTAGTAGGCTATACCATCTAGGTTTGTGAAAGGACACTCTATGATGTTTCCACAATGACAAAATTGGCTGACAGTGCATTTCTTACATTGTATCTCTGCCATTAAGCAATGTATGACTGTATATCCTCTGAGGGATATCACCAGCCTCACATTTAAAAATTATATAATCCTATAAATCATGCAAGGTTAGCTCCCTTCTTAAAACAAAACAAAAGGAACGACGAAAAGCCCAGACACCAAGATCACTAAGATGGTTCAGAACCAGATCTCAACTTCAGACCTGTTTGGTTCATATGCAATTTATTAAAGTTGAAAATGATTTTTCATTCCATATAATCTATCTTGACATTATCCTATAAGTCTCTAACCAATACATACTGACCCTTGAGAAGGACATAAGCCACCCAGCGAGAAGCCTCCTGTCTAGTTCCTCCATGAGTCTAACTTCCGTGTACTGCCCCAGCAGAAAATCCAAACAAGCACCCTATATCTCATTGTTGTCCCTTCCTTTGGCTCCCACTCCTTTCTTGATATTTAGAGCAAAGAACAGTAGTGTTTCTTCACTGAAACCATCTAGGTTTGTGAAAGGACACTCCATGATGTTTCCACAATGACAAAATTGGCTGACAGTTATTAAGATTTTCATTTTATCAAAATACAACCTGTATGTGTATCTTCCATTTTAAAACGAATGAATGAGGAGTAATCTTCTTACCGTATTGACCCAATCATGTATGGCTGTGCCAGCTGAACCACAATCGCACCACTTCCTAGCTGGTGACATGTGTAGCCAGAATCCCAATCATAATTCTTAGTGTCCCCATTCAGCAAGGCATTTCGGCTCCGACTGACTCCTTCAATCACGCTGGCACAATCAGCAATTGTTGCAATGTTCTCCATGGGAACTGTGAATCCAAAAACAAGATTTGGCATCAGGATAAGGGAAGCCAAATATATCTTGATGGTATGCTCAGAACAAAATTAATTAACTGCTATCTCAAATCAATGGTAAAAGAAAAATTAGAACATTTTGATTATCTTCAGATATGAATACATTTTCCATGGCAAATAGCTTTAAAAAAAATGTTAAACCCACTGGGCACGGTGGCTCACATTTGTAATCCCAGCACTTTGGGAGGCTGAGATGGGCAGATCACTTGAGGTCAGGAGTTTGAGACCAGCCTGGCCACCGTGGTCAAAATCCATCTCTATAAAAATACAAAAAATTAGCCAGGCATGGCAGCATAAGCCTGTAGTCCCAGCTACTTGGAAGGCTGAGGCAGGAGAATCGCCTGAACCCAGGAGGCAAAGGTTGCAGTGGGCCAAGATCACATCACCGCACTCTAGCCTGGGTGACAGAGCAAGACTCTGCTTCAAAAAAGGCGGGGGAGGGGAGAAGAAAAGGGAAAAGGAAAAGAAAGGTGTAGAAAAATACAGGGTATATTTTCATTTATACAAAGTTTTCAACAAAGTCACAATGAAACGTACTTTGTTTAGAGCTATACACATAAATGTAAAACTGAAAAGGGAATCTAGGAAATTAATACAGAACAATAAAATAGCTTGGGAAGAGGGAAGGTGAAATTTTGGAAGCCCCCCCACCCCAACCAAAAGGTCTAAATATTAACTGGGTCAGGTGTAGTGGCTCACGCCTGTAAACCCAACACTTTAGGAGGCTGAGGAGAGGAGACTGCTTAAGTTCAGGAGTTCAAGACCAGCTGGGACAATGTGGTGAAACCCCATCTCTACCAAAAATATAGAAAATTAGCCAGGCGTCGTAGCACACATCTGTGGTCCCAGCGACTCGGCCTACTGAAGTGGGAGGATTGCTTGTACCTGGGAGGCAATGGTTGCAGTGAGCCAAGATCACACCACTGCACTCCAGCCTTGGAAACACAGTAAAACCCGCTCTTAAAAACAAACAAACAAAAAATAATTTTATGTCTAATACAGATATTTAATCTATTCTTCTGAAAGTCTCCTTAAAGAAACATGTTTAATTCAGAATTCTGAAACTCACATAATAGGAAAGTGATCCAGGACGTGGCACCAAACTCATTTCAGAATATACAGTTGCTCTCAGCCATGATTGATTTCTTTTTGTTTGTCTACTATTCTGTGCATTGCAATATATATGCTCTTCCCATTGTTCGTGAACTGCTGCATCTTAAAAACCCAGCTGTTCTGATTTTGAGTCTCTCTTTCTGTAATTCAAATCTACATCAACCTGCTCATTTATAAAAGTCAAGAACTTCCACAAAATGATGGATGCTCAATATGATGTAAATTCTTTAAACACTGAGAAGGGAATAAAAGGTAAGGGCCTTTTAAGTCCCCTGGGACCTTTTCTGCACATTTAAAACAAAAACCTATAATTTTCTCCAGACACTTAAGTTATTTAACCAAAACCTACTTATATTCAAGGTTTGTAACTTACTTCAGATAATTTAAAAGTAGACTGGAAAAGAAAACATAATTCTACATACATCTTCTACACAACTCATTTATTTTCCAAAGTTGGATATGCTTGTACTTAAGCCCTCATCTCATATGCCTTCACTAATTGCTTTGCTCTCTGTAGCTGAGTAAAGCCACCCACAGAGAAGAAAGGAAGGGAGAGAAGTGAGAGAGAGAGGATTTATTTTTCTGGTGATAAATTCCTTGATTATAAAGCTTAACTCCAAAGCAACAAGCAAAAACAGTGGTGAAATTACCTGTAAGGACAGTTTCCTGGCAGAGAAGGAGCTCAGAGAGAAACTCCCTGTGACTTTGGAAAGAAAAAGAAGTGGACTAAATTTAGAAGGTAAGCTATGGTACTGCTGTCTCCTGGAAAAAGGGCAGTATTCTTTGATTTGGAAGAGAGAATGAAAGGAAATGGCACAAGATGTACAGTAAATTGAGCTGAGGGATAACACTGTGTAGACAGGTTATACTGCAGCAACTGACAAGCCCCTACTGTCTCAGTGGCTTCACATAGAACACATTTATTCAATACAATCAGCCAGGAGGTTCTGCTCATTGTATCACTCAGGGATCCCAGTGACAGAGGCTTCATAGTGACATGTGCTTCCCCAATCACAGCAGCAGTGGGAAGAGAGTAAGCTGGGCACTGGCTCCTAAAACTCTTCCCCAAAAGTAACACGTCACTTTGCACAAATTTCATTGTCTAAGACAGGTCACATGGCCTTACCTAACTTCAGAGGGGACTAGAAAGCACAAACCTGCTATGTGCCTGGGAAAAGCACCAGGGAGAAAGAAATAGGGAGTATTTGGTGTACAACATTTAATGCCTACCGTAAACATTAAGCAAGGATGAAAAAACATTTAACATACAGTATATCTGGTCATCTGTTTCAAGTATATAAAACATTTCAATGTATTAATATTCCAAAATTTATATATCTATTCTCTTGCTGAGGGACATTTAGATTACTACCATTGTTTTCTTTGCCATTACAAACAAAAGTGTCTTCTTGTATTCCCAAGTAAGAGTTTCTTAAAGGAATACTTAAGATTTCTATGTATGTGGAAGTGGAATTACATTCATGGCTATGAATTAACTTCAACTTCCCTAGATATTGCCAAATTTTTCACCAAAGTGGTTGTAAAGCTTTATATTCTCTCCTTGAAGAGGTCCTTCAGAACATCCCTTGTAAGTTGTATTCCTACGTATTTTATTCTTTGTAGCAATTGTGAATGGGAGTTCACTCATGATTTAGCTTTCTGTCTATTATTGCTGTATAGGAATGCTTGTGATTTTTGGACATTGATTTTATATCCTAAGACTTTGCTGAAGTTGCTTATCAGCTAAAGGAGATTTGGGGCTGAGATGATGGGGTTTTCTAAATATATAATCATGTCATCTGCAAACAGAGACAATCTGACTTCCTCTCTTCTTATCTGAATATGCTTTATTTCTTTTTCTTGCCTGATTGCCCTGGCCAGAACTTCCAATACTATTTTAAACAGGAGTGGTGAGAGATGCCATCCTTGTCTTATACCTGTTTTCAAAGGTAATGCTTCTAGCTTTTGCCCATTCAGTATGATATCGGCTGTGGGTTTGTTATAAAAGGCTCTTATTATTTTGAGATACATTCCATCAATACCTAGTTTATTCAGAGTTTTTAGCATGAAGAGGTACTGAATTTTATTGAAGGCCTTTTCTGCATCTATTGAGATAATCACATGGTTTTTGTCATTGCTTCTGTTTTCATGATGGATTACATTTATTGATTTGTGTATGTTGAACCAGCCCTGAATCCTAGGGATGAAGCCGACTTGATTGTGGTAGATAAGCTTTTTCATGTGCTGCTGGATTTGGTTTGCCAGTACTTTATTGAGGATTTGCGCATTGATGTTCATGAGGGATATTGGCCTGAAATTTTCTTTTTTTGTTGTGTTTCTGCCAGGTTTTGGTATCAGAATGATGTTGGCCTCATAAAGTAAGGAGTCCCTCTTTTTCTGTTGTTTGGAAGCTTAGGAAGGAATGGTAGCAGCTCCTCTTTGTGCCTCTGGTAGAATTTGGCTGTGAATCCGTCTAGTCCTGGGCATTTTTTGACTGGTAGGCTGCCTCAATTTCAGAACTTGTTATTGGTCTATTCAGGGATTCAACTTCTTCCTGCTTTAGTCTTGGGAGTGTGTATGTGTCCAGGAATTCATTCATTTCTTCTAGTTTTCTAGCTTATTAGCATAGAGGTGTTTATAGTGTTCTCTGATGGGTAGTTTGTATTTCTGTGAGATCAGTGGTGATACCCCCTTTATCATTTTTTGTTGTGTCTATTTGATTCTTCTCTCTTTTCTTCTTTATTATTCTGGCTAGTGGTCTATCTATTTTGCTAATCTTTTCAAAAAACCAGCTCCTGGATTCCTTGATTTTTTTGAAGGGTTTTTTGTTTCTCTATCTCCTTCAGTTCTGCTCTGATCTTAGTTATTTTTTGTCTTCTGCTAGCTTTTGAATTTGTCTGCTCTTGCTTCTCTAGTTCTTTTAATTGTGATGTTAGGGTGTCAATTTTAGATCTTTCCCATTTTCTCCCATGGGCATTTAGTGCTATAAATTTCCCACTAAACACTCTGTTAGCCATGTCCCAGAGATTCTGGTATGTTGTGTCTTTCTTCTCATTGGTTTCAAATAACTTCTTTATTTCTGCCTTAATTTCATTATTTACCTGGTAGTCATTCAGGAGAAGATTGTTCAATTTCCATGCAGTCATACAGTTTTGAGTGAATTTCTCCACTGCTTAAGGAAATAACATTCCATGCTCATGGATAGATGGTATTAATATCTTAAAAATGGCCATACTGCCCAAAGTAATTTATGGATTTAATCCTATCCCCATCAAGCTACCATTGACTTTCTTCATAGAATTAGAAAAAAACTACTTTAAATTTCATATGGAACCAAAAAAGAGCCCATATAGCCAAGACAATCCTAAGCAAAAAGAGCAAAGCAGGAGGCATCACACTACCTAACTTCAAACTATAGTACAAGGCTACAATAACCAAAACAGCATGGTATTGGTACCAAAACAGATATATAAACCAATGGAACAGAACAGAGGCCTCAGAAATAACACTACACATCTATAATCATCTGATCTTTGACAAACCTGACAAAAGCAATGGGAAAAGGATCCCTTATTTAACAAATGGTGTTGGGAAAACTGGCTAGCCATATGCAGAAAACGGACCTTACACCTTATACAAAAATTCACTGAAGATGGATTAAAGACTCAAACATAAGACCTAAAACCATAAAACCCTAGAAGAAAACATAGGCAATACCACTCAGGACATAAGCATGGGCAAAGACTTCATTACTAAAACATCAAAGCAATGACAACAAAAACCAAATTTGACAAATGGGATCTAATATAACTAAAAAACTTTTGCACAGCAAAACAAACTA